TGGGCACCAGGCTGCACCCTGAGCAATGAGTGGGGCTGCCTCTAGTGTGTAGAGAATAGACCCAACAGGGTCTTTTTGCCTGGTCAGGTGACAGTGAGTGCATTTCAAAATACTGGCCCTCAGGAACAGTGTTGTGGCACAGCATATTAAACTGTCACGTGTGACATCAGCATCTCATGGGATCCAGATGAGTCCTGGCAGCTCCATTTCCTACCCAACTCCCTTCTAATCACCTGGGAGAACAATAGATGATGAAACAAGTGCTTGGGCACTGCCACCCACATGCGAGATCCAGACTGAGTCCCTGACTTGTGGCTCATAGTTAACTAGGAAATAATTCAAACTGTAGATGGAAGATCTTCATCTCTAACTTTCAGGCACCCAAAATATGAGGTAAACCTGATGTTAAATTTATTTGGCTTTAAAATTAGTATCTGTTCACATGGATTCCAATTTTTTATTCTGTAGCTCCACTTTCAAGGATTAACACTTGCAACCATAACAAGTTAGAAGGAAAGTTGTAGGTTGAACATAGTTGATCACCTTTGAAAATTCTTGTTTAAATTTAATCTGCATTGTGAGGTATACCTGACAACGCTGTTTAGGTATTTGACAACTGGGAGTTGGTTGGGATTAGATAAGATCATCACAAGGAGACCTCATGATTGGATCCTGGTGGCTTATAGGAAGAACAACCAAAATAACACATTCAACCCCACCTTTCACCATGCCATGCTCTGCACCATCTCAGGACCCTGCAAGGACAGAGGCCATCGCCAGATCTGGCCGTTCAACCTTGGACCAAGACTTGAGTCTCAATAAATTGTTCTTTGTAACTTGCCCAGTTACTGATGCTGTGTCATTAGCAAATGGAAACAGACTGAGACAGGGAAATTGATAACAGTAAGCCCCAATTGGGATACCTATATCCCATATCAGATAACCTGTTCAAGTCTTGTCTATTCCACTTCCAATCCAGCTTCCTGCTCATGCACCCTGGGAGGTGATAGATGATGGCTCAGTACTCGAGTCCCTGCCAGCTATATGGAGACCAGGATAGAGTTCCAGGTTCCTGACTTTGGCTTGGCCCAACCTTATCTGTTGCTGGCATTCAGATAATGAGTCAGCAGATGGAACATACCTTTTTTTCTCTCTATCTTTCTCTCTCTCTCTCTCCCTCTCTCTCTCCATCCTTCTCTCCCTTCTCCTCTCTTTTTATCTGCTTTCAGTTACATGAAGAAAAATAAACTTTTTAAAAAGGAAGTCACAATATATGGTCCAATATAGATGTATCAGACATAAACTAACGGATATTTTATAATTCTATCTACTGAAGTACCTTGAATAGCCAAATTCAAAACAACAAAAAGTAGAAGGGTGATTGCCAAGAACTGGGGGAGAAGAAATGGAGTTAATATTTAACAAGTACAGTTTTAGGTTGGAAGGATGAAAGTTCTAGTGGTGGTACTGATCCTAAAACAATGAGAACATAAATAACCATTGAACTGTATACTTAAAAAGATTTTTTTTTTATTTTTTTTAATTTTTTTTTTTAAAGATTTATTTTTATTATTTTTTATTGGAAAGGCGGATATACAGAGAGGAGAGACAGAGAGGAAGATCTTCCATCCGATGATTCACTCCCCAAGTGAGCCGCAACGGGTCGATACTATGCCGATCCGAAGCCAGGAGCCTCTTCCAGGTCTCCCACGCGGGTGCAGGGTCCCAAAGCTTTGGGCCGTCCTCAACTGCTTTCCCAGGCCACAGGCAGGGAGCTGGAAGGGAAGCGGGGCTGCCGGGATTAGAACCGGCGCCCATATGGGATCCCGGGCGTGCTAGGCGAGGACTTAACCACTTGCGCCACCGCGCCGGGCCCTTAAAAAGATTAAGACAATAAATCTATATTAGGTCTATTATACCACAATTAAAAACAAAATAAAACAAAAACTTGAAGCTGTAAAATCAATCCAACTTGAGTTCAAACATGCATCTACCCATGATAGCACCTTGATCAACAGTTTTAGGCCAGGGGCCAATTTTCCACCCTGTGAAGTCATAATAATAAGAATGCACAACTTATGTAAAACCTTGGGCCCAACACTTGGCACAGAAGTATTCAAATACCAATGATCTTATCAGCTGTGACCTGGAGGAAGAGAACTGAAAGTGCTAAGCGGAACTGACCGGCTCTTACTCTCCTCCCCGTTCTACTCAGACCCTGTGTCTAGGCAGCAGGTTTGAGAAACAACCTCCTTAGTTGTTTCTCACAAGTGCCTCTTCACAAGTGCCTCTTCACAAACATCTAACTCACTCTAAGAAGTGAAGAAAATAACCGTAGATCAGCATGGTCTGGACATCTGGGCAGGCATGCAGAGACACACACACACTCACTCATGCAGAACCCATCTTAAAATGCAAATAAACATCATCTGCAATAATGCAGTGTGAATTCACATCCAGAACAATTAAGAGCAAAGAGACATCCCCAAAAGGGTCAACAATCCAGAGATGTTAAATAACAAGTAATTATCCAGTGCCCTTTAATCCAGGCGGTGCTGAATGTTACCAACAGTCTAATTAGTATACCCTCCGTGGTTTGAGTTTAGAAATGTGATGCTGGAGATTGGCACCTTGAGTCAGTAGGTTAATCTTCTACCCTGTGGTACCAAAATCCCATGTGAGTGCTGGTTCATGTTTCACCTGCTCCACTGCCAATCCAGGTCTCGGCTTAAGGCCTAGGAAAGCAGCAGAGGATGGTTCAAGTCCTTGGGACCCTGCTTCCATCTGGGAAACTCAGAAGACATTTCTGGCTCCTGTATTCACATCAGCTCAGCTCTGGCCCTGGTGACCATTTGGGGAGTGCACCAGCAGATGGAAGACCTTCTGTCTCTACCTCTCCTTCTCTCTATAAATCAGTCATAGAGAGAGAAGAAAGGAAGGAAGGAAGGAAGGAAGGAAGGAAGGAAGGAAGGAAGGAAGGAAGGAAGGAAGGAAGGAAGGAAGGAAGAAAGAAAGAAAGAAAAGAAAGAAAGAAAGAAAGAAAGAAAGAAAGAAAGAAAGAAAGAAAGAAAGAAAGAAAGAAAGAAAGAAAGAAAGAAAGAAAGAAAGAAAAGAAGGAAGGAAGGAAGAAAGAAAAGAAAGGAAAGAAAGGAAGGAAGAAAGAAAGAAAGAGGGCCCGGCGCAGTGGCGCAAGTGGTTAAAGGTCCTCACCTTGCATGCCCGGGATCCCATATAGGCTCCGGTTCTAATCCCGGCAGCCCCGCTTCCCTTCCAGCTCCCTGCCTGTGGCCCCGGAAAGCAGTCAAGGACGGCCCAAAGCTTTGGGACCCTGCACCCGCGTGGGAGACCCGGAAGAGGCTCCTGGCTTCGGATCGGCATAGTATCGGCCATTGCGCTCACTTGGGGAGTGAATCATCGGACGGAAGATCTTCCTCTCTGTCTCTCCTCTCTGTATATCCGCCTTTCCAATTAAATAAATCTTAGAAAGAAAGAAAGAAAGAAAAGAAAGGAAGGAAGGAAGGAAGATGCTGTCCTTAAATTCCTTCAAGGTTGGATAGATCTGGTTGGTTGAACAGGTGTGCATTGCTGCAGCTGCACTCCATCAGGGCCATCACCAGCCTCTGATCCCAGTACCATTGTAACAGTCTTCACACCCATCCTCCAACCTTATGGACCCCACTCCACAATCCATATTCTTCACTGCAGTAAGTGAGATCTTCCTGGACGCAAATCTTAGCAAAAGAGTAGCTTTGTTTAGAGCCTCGCAGAGATTGCCCAGTGCCCTGGGATAAAGCCCATGTCCCCCAACAAGGCTCTCCCAGAGCTGTCTGTGCCCATGGTTGACCTTTCTCTTATTCTATACATTCAAGAACTTCATGAAGTCCCTGCAGGTCCCTCATGGTTTTTTGCTTCTTATCTCCACACCTTTCAACACACTACCCTCTCCAACATTTTCACAATCTCCCCTTCATCTAACTTATCATCCATTCTTTACTTTTTGTTGCTTTCTAAAAGATAAATTAATTTATTTGAGGGGCAGAGTTACATAGAGAGAGATTCCTTCTGCAGGTTCACTCCCCTAAATGACCCTAACAACCTCAGCTTAGCCAGGCTGAAGCCAGCAGCTAATAACCGCATCCAGGTCTTCCACATGGGAAACAGGAACCAAGCACTTGGATCAAAATCTGCCACCTTTCCAGGTGCATCAGCAGAAAAGCTGAATCAGACATGGAGTCATCTGGACTTGAACTAGCACTCAGATATGGAATGCAAATGATTCAATCAAAGTATAACCTGCTGGACCACAATAGCTACCCCTCACCAACCATTAAGTTTTCAACCTTAAATGCTTACTGCCAACCAAGCCTTTCCCTGACCTACTTTTAGGAATAGTTCCCTTATAGGGTACTCTGAGGAACTTCTATACTTATCTTATTTTGATTCAGTGGCTGCTTTAGTGGCTGTCTCTTGCATTTGTCTGCAAAGTGAATCAGGATAAGGTCCAAGTACAATTTTATCACTACCATATCCCATGTCTGGGGTTGAAACAAGAGAGAAGTACGGCATCTTGCTCTATTACATAGAATGACTGAACAGACAGTATCAAATACACTGAGTCGTTACTGTGTGCTAGACATTTTTCTGGGACCTTAGAAAACAAAGAGCAGCATGAGTCCTCTTAACTTCTGAAGTTGACAACTTAATGGAGGGAATTGATTATTATGATCCAATTCTAGGATTGCTTCAGTGATGATCATAAAATGTGCTTATGGTTTTTTATATTAACTCTGGTAGAAATGGAATAAATGTGTAGAACAATGACTCTTGAAGGTTGGCTTAAGCAATACCATAACCTTCCTTTTTATTCTTCAGCAGGTGCCTCCCAGAACCACTGATTTTAGCTGTGTTGCTCAGAGTAAATTACTTTGTGTTTCAGATATGTAATTCCTAGTAGGAAGTGAATTAGGAAATTCATGCACTAAACTGTTTAGCACAGTGCCAAATGTATAGTAGGGAATCAAAAATGTGAGTTTTCATCCTTGTGCAGGGACCATGCTAATCTCTTATTTCCAATTTTAGTATATGTGTTGTCAAAGTGAGCATAAAAATGTGAATTTTCATCATCGTCATTGTTATTAATAAGGCTTACTCTTTATAACAAGTCTTTACAAATTAATAAAACGTGCTGTTTATAATGAAAGTTTACAACTATTATTTGGCATAGAATTTGGCATTCTACTCAAGACTGGCTGCTAGACAGTGCCTGCTAATCTTGTCTGTTCCATTGTCCGTTCACCCTCATAGGCAAAAGGTGGAAATTTTCAAAAAGTACTGCTTGTTATCCTTGTCCTGAGATGCTGTAGTTTTTGTTGTGCCCCTTTGATTTTTTTAGAAATCAATTTCCATTAGTTTAGCTTCACTGCCATCCATTTAGTTTATTTTTGATGGTTTGGTTGACTAATGTATTGTTAAATTATTGCATCAAGAGTATTTTTGATGAGAGCTTTTCAGTTTATACTTTGACATAAATATACATTGTGGCTCAAATCTGAATGACTCTACCCCTATTAGAAACACAAACTGGGTTAAGAGGGCAGCATGGTGGCATAGCAAACTAATGCTCTGCCTGTGGTGCCAGCATCCTAGATGGTCACCAGTTCATGCCTCAGTTGCTCCACTTCTGATCCAACTCCCTGCTAATGACCTGAGGAAGCAGCAGAAGAAAGACCAAGTCCTTAGGTCCCTGCACCCATGAGGGGGACATGGAAGAAGCTCCTGGCTCCTAGCTCCAGACCGGCCCAGTTCTTACCCCCACAGCCATTTGGGGAGTGAGGCAGCAGACAGTTGGAAGATCTCTCTCTCTCTCTATCTCTCTATCTCTCTCTCACACACACACACACTTTCTCTCTGTAATTATGACTTGCAAATAAAATAAACACATCTTTAGAAAAAGAAACCTTTAAAAAAAGAAACACAGATAAAAGGAAACAAAAAAACAGAAACACATATGATTAGGCAATCTTTCTACTTCCACTTGTAATTGCTTTATGATAGTCTATGGTTGCTTTTACTAAAATAATTATTTACAGGTGAAAATTGAAGTAAATACTGTAAATGGTCCAATAGGTCCCTTGAAATTCCTAAGAGAAATGAGTCCAAAATCCATGCAAAACGAATTGTTCACACACACACACAGAGGCCCAAAACAATATATGACACACAGTGTTATTTTTTGCAAGATAGTTTCTAACTAAAAAGAAACACAGAATTATTTACATGATAGGTTGAATAATGACTTATGAAGACATTCAATTTCAAATCCAGGAGCCTGTGACCATTATCTTCTGCGGAAAAGTGGCCTTTGTAGACGCGATGGAGCCAAGGATGCTGTCATGGGCAGGTTATCCCAGACTATCAGATGGATGCACATGCAATCACAGTGTCTTTCTAAGAACAGAACGAAGGAGATGCAATGAGAGCAGAAGCTGATGGAGACTGCTCAGCCATGAACCCAGGAATGTCTTCAACTGGCAGAGCTGAAACAGATGAGCAGACTGATTCTATGATACCCTAACAGCAACCTAGGAAAACTGGGTTTGGGCTTCTGGCCTGAACAACCAACAACTATAAACGATGTGTGATGTTTAAAGTCAGCAATTGTGATAATTTATTACAATAGCCATGGGAAACAAATGCAGGTGCTTTTCTTTCTTCATATTAAGCCTTAAGATGATATTTTACATGATTATATAATAAAGGGTATAGCATGAACAGCAATAAAACTAAAAATTAATGAAAGCAAAACTGAGTAACAAAAGAAGATAGGAATTGGTCTCAATTTGGAAAAAGTGTTGCTGCCTTCACTTTCTCCTGGAAACTTCTGGACAAGGCCTCAGCATCCTGAGAGCTTCACAAGAGAACGACTCAACTTCTCACATCAAAGGCATGGGCGTTAAGCTTATCATTACAGAGGAAAGACAATTCCTAGAGACTTCACAGATGCCATGGTACTGTGATGAATAGAGTCAATTCTATGTTTCTAGTTTCCTCAGAGTACATCTTGGGGATTTTCACCACGTTACTACAGGAGATGATAAAAATGTGGATTAGCTGGATTATGGTACTCATTTCACAATGCATATGTCTATTAAAACATCAGGCTGAATACTTTGAATATGTATAAAATATATATATTTGTCAATTGCACCTCACAAAAATGAAAACACACACATAAAGCTTAATAGAAGCCCAGGGCTTTGAAATGGCACCACCACAACCCCATGGCTGCTTAGGGTTCTGGCTGCACGGCTTGGCTTCCAATCCCATTCCTTGTTAGTGATCCTGGGAAGCAATAGAATTATCCCAAATACTTGGACCCCTCCCTCCCCCCTGGAAGACCTGGACAGAGGTCAGTCTCTTGACTTTGGTGTGTCCCAGCTCCATACTTTGTGGACATTTAGAGAGTGAACCAGCAGATGGAAAACATCTCTCTCCTTCTCTGTCTTTTGCCCTTAAAGTCTGTCAGTTTATCTTTCAAATAAATAAATAAATAAGTCTTTAAAATAAAATAATATGTAAGTAACAGCATGGGCTTAGCTTTCAGCATTATATATTCAGAGGTATGAACATGTTACATACTGTAAGAACATACATTTTGCATACTGTCTTTTATTCTATAGTACTTTCATTAAAATATAAATGAAGACTATACCCATATAACTGCTAAGCTTTGTGTGTGTTTTCAGCTTTTCAGCAGAAGCAGAGGTATAACTGACAAATGCTGTTGTCACCTACTCTATGTCTTGAGTCTTGCAAATATGCCCATACTTCAGATGAGAAATGCATTCTACCAAAGTAAAAATGCAATACAAATTGCCCAATATCACAGGCTAGCAGGGGCTGTGACAAGAAGTCACCTTTTGCTAAAATATCGAGCAAATGCATCAGTGGCTGCCCTGGCTCCATGCCTCTTCTAGGAGCTAAGGCTCCTGTTTCCACAGTGAGAAGGAAGTGGGAATGTCTGAGGGAAGTGGCGCCTGGGGTGATGGGCTTTCACTTCCACCTTCTGGTGGTTGATGTAAATGAGGGGGAAGTCAAGGGCAGGCAAGGCACTGGCTGTGAGACAAAACAAGATGCAGAGCTGACCATGGACCCGCCCCCTCTTCTGCCTGCCTCATCCAGGCCGTCTTAGTTGGAAGCTGAGCTGATTGTTCACTTTGTGTTCTGATTTTTAAAAAAGTGGAATGAACCTTCATCAGCTGCATCTTCTGTGTTCCTTACTACTTAATCTGAAATTCGGAAAAGATGTGATTAGGAAAGATCAGTGACTTGGAATGTATAGTGAAATCAGGAAGACATGAACCCATCTGTTTTATGGGGTGGTGTTTAGTACATTAATTGCCTAAGCTAGTGTCAGGTGGTTGGGGGTTGCTCATATGACCATTTCTTCTGTGAACATTTACTGGGTACCTACCATGCTCCACTCCGGATTCATGGTGTTCACATTCCTGTGCAAAAATAGGGACAATAGACATAAACAAGTACATCTATAATAAATGCCTCTGATTAAATCATTCTTTCAATACTCCATACTCCAGTTAACCAGGAGGTGAATTCACAGAGGTTTCTAAGGAAAGAAAGTTCGGGGTCTTGGGGGCCCATTGCGAGGTCTTTGTTCCTTAATATAAATGAGACAGAGACCTATGGTGGTTGCGGGAAGAGGGGGATGTGGAAAGATGTTGAACAAGAAGAAAAAAGGCACAGGTCCTGAATGATACTGTAAGAAGTATAGTTTGGCTGCTGTGTAAAGAATAGCCTGGAGAGTCAGAGCAGAAGCACAGATCACTTAGGAAATGGTTGAGGTCTCAGTGAGCAGCAGTGATGACTGGTAATTTAGGAGCTAATGCAAGGTCTGAATTAGAACAGAGACAAAGATTTGCAGACAGATTAAAAGGAAGGACCCCCCCAGGTTTGTCCAAAGGGACTTGAAAGATGTAGTTGCCATAACTTATAGTGAAGATGACAGCAAGAGTTAGAGCTTGACTAGAAGGCAGAAGGGGAAGCTGGGCTCACTCTTGGAGGCGAAACTGTGGGTTTGACGAGGCCTATAAATAGCTAAATACACAGGTCAAGTTTACAGTTGATTCTCACCATCTGGAATTCAGGTACAAGACCCAGCTGGAAGGAATACTTGCACAAAGAAAAAACAAAGCAGGCTCTTAGATGAGACTGAATGGCATGGGTGTGTAATGCTTGGTAAGAAGAGGTGACAACCTTGCTGGGAAGGTGATATTTGAACTGAGACCTGCACAAAGGGAGGGGGGCACCCGCTTGGTTATCAGAGGGAAGGCAGGCAAGACTGAGGAAGGAGAGTGTATTCAGGATAAATAACCAATAGATTGGAGCTCTGGAACAAGAGCCAGAACCTCAGTGAGATTATTAGAGCACTTGGTAAAGATAAGATCAGAGAGATGGGAAAGATTGCATCACGAGTTCAAGTCCTTGCTCTGCCTCTTAATAAGGGTATGCCCTTAGGGAAATCACTTACTTTCCCTTGGATCCATTTTCTCTATAAAATGATATTAATAGAACTTACCAATTTAGGATGTTGCAAGGCTCAAATGAGGTTAAGTTAAAGCATTCGACACAGCACCTGCAGCATAAATACTGTTTACTACATGCTTTGGAAATCATCTTACAATATTTCCTATATGGTTTTCAATGAAGGATTTTGTCTTTTCCTGCTCAAAGTGTTGATTTCATCATGGGTTTAACTGTTTAGTTCCCATTTTTCTTGTCCTACTAATCAAGACGCCTGGGTGGTGACTTAGGCTGTTGACCACAGCCCCATACTCACCACTTCACATGGGTGGGAAAATCTGGGAGATTCAGTTTATGACTGGAATTGCAGATGGGGTAACTAGAAACTCCCCCCAAACCTTCCCACTCTGTAGCAGAAACACTGGATTTCCCAATCTGCAAGGGGAAACATCCAATTAGGCTTTCGTCAGTTTCGACATTCAGATTCCTCTGTCCTTGACTAACAGTGTTAGTTTTCAACCTGAATCCCAAGTGGACCAGGTCCCTAAGAGCTGCTACACTGA